CAGACCCAGGAATACTTGCAGATACATTTCTGCAGCAGCAGTAGGTGAGACATACATTTCCCAGTGTCTTCTCTCACTCTGGGTATATACATGAAAAAAAATAATTGGTAAACAGAGTATGCTAATGAGGATTCCTTTACAATTATTTCATTACTTGTGAGGCTGTATATTTCTGTGGATCAGTTAGCCATTTACTTTCTCTGTTGCAAATTGTCTCTTTGCATCCTTTGCTCTTGTAAAGTGGGGTCAGAGTGTTTTTATTCTTCATTTTGATTGCAGTATTTAAGGCAAAGAGTTGTTTTTGTCACCAACTAGTTGGTGCCATTTAGTTCTTTTATGTAAGTATAGATGTAATTGTGGAAAATGTACAAGAGTTTATAAATTTTGTGAGATCAAATCTATCAGTCACTCATACTGTGTTCTCACTGCTCTTTTATTTTTTACTGAAATAATTGAACTCTCATTTTACTTCATTCATGAATCTTTGTTTTAAACAAAAATGTCAGAGTACTGCATCCTTATGGAAAATAAATCACTTTTTTGAGGAGTCAGTTTTATTTGTTTTGCATGCATATTTTTTGGAACTTTTTGTTGAGGTGTAATATATATTAGTTTTACTTGTAAAATATAATGATTCATTATTTGTATATATTGCAAAGTGATCACCACAAAAGGTCTACTTAAATTCTGCCACCATACATAGTTATAAAATTGTTTTATCTTGTGATGAGAACTTTTAAGATCTACTCTCCTAGCAACTTTAAATATGCAATACTGTACTATTAACTCTAGTCAACATGATGTACACTACATCCCAAGGAGATATTTATTTTATAACTAGAAGTTTGGGTGGGTGAAATGGGTGAAGGGGTTAAAGGGTGCAAAGAATAAATAAATCACTCTTTATACATATTTCTGACTGTTTTTCATTTCTCTGTAATTCATTATTTTTCTCTAGATGTTTGGGATTAGATTTAGTTCTAAAACTCACATCAACTTAGGCATTTGAAAGGCATTTATCATTATAAAGAGTTTGTTTTACCGTATGACTAAAGATAACCTATATCTTCCATAAACCTATTGTAATTCATATATCTTTATATAAGATAAAATTATAACTTAGCTACTGCTTCCCCCCACATCTGAATACCCTTTTTAATATTTTATTTCCAAGTTTTTCACAATTTAATCCTGAACTAGTGACCTATGTTAATATTACAGAATTATTGTATTTTATGTCTTTATATGTTATTTGTAGATTTTCATTCACTTCTGTTACATACAGTTGTTTTGCAACAACTATACTTCACCTCATTCATTCTCATTGACATTGTTTCCATATGGTATTACTTTCAAATAAAACTTCTGTTTCTACATTATGCACACCTACATATTCTTATACTTTTATACAAATGCATGAATATAATCCTATGCATATCATAAATGATCTCTACGTTTTAGTGCAGTCTTTTTAAATTTCTTCATTTCCTCTCCCCTTATCCTTCTTACTCAATAATACCTTGCAGACTTGCTTCCGATCAACCAGTGTAATGATGATTTATTATTTCACTGGCTGCATAACATTTCATGGTGTGACTGTGATGCTCATACTTTTGAAGGTCTTTCATATTCTTTATCCTGCATTACTATTACATCAATGCTACAAAAATATTTTGGAATTAAGTTTAAATTGTGTTTCTAAACAAGAGCGATTTTGTCCTCCAGGGGACAGTGAGCAATGTTTAGAAACATCACTGGCTATCACACTGCAGAGGGGTGTGTGGAGGCCAAGAGTGGTCTAAACATTTCACAATGCACAAGACAGACCCCACCACGGAGAATGATCTGGCCCAGAATGTCAATATTGCTGAGATCGAGAAACACTGAGTTAAAGAATATCTGTACTTTTAATATCTATAGGTGTCTTCAAATCATTTACCCAATGTTATAACATTTTGTAGTTCTGCCAGAAAAATTAGAGTTCCCCATTGCTACTTTTTTAAAAGTTCCAACCCCAATCAATATGATAGACCTCAAAGATTTTTCCCAGGCTGATAAATGTGAAAGATATTTATTGGTGTTTTCTAAACTATTACTGAGTTTGATCAAAGATTCATATATTTGATCACTATGTTGATTTGCCTATTATTATTATACGTCTGTATATTATATGCATGATGTTCTACAGTTATCAATCTGTCAAATGATTTTTAAAAGTTATTGTGTCTCAACTGACTTCTGGGGGATGTTTTGGCCATAAAAATGTTTTATGTTTTATGTAGTTAAATATGTCTATCTTACTTCTGAGCTTCTTGCCTTAATTCAGATGGTTTGTCCCACCTGTAGATTTTAATATGTAGTTTTCTGGATGTTCACCTGAAAAGTATCCGTTATTCTTACAGTGAGTAGGTAATCTCTCTGAGTTTTTGTAATGTCACTGAGTGAGGATCAGCTTTATTTTCCTGCAGGTCAATATCCATTTTGCCAGATTTATTCAACTATCCAATCTTCCCTAATATATTGAAATACACATTACCATATATTAAACACACTTATATACTGAGACCGCATTGCTGATTCATTCAGCAAATACTAACTGAGCATCTACTATGTGCCATGATTTCTAGGAACATTACATATTATGTTCTTTTCTATCTATGCCTTTGACAATTGAATTATTAATCCATGTTGACATTGAATTATTGCTATTTTACGTCTTGTTTTAGTTAGTTTGATGCTCCTCTAAATTTCTTTAATACACTTGCTTTGAAACCACTCTCTTTAAGCTAGTTTCATTCTCCCTGCCATTCTTTTTATTTCTTAACTTCACATTTACTTAAATTTGTTCCTATGTAAGTGCACATATACTCACTAATATTTGTGAAAATACGAAGGTGAACAAAACTGGTGAAGCCCTGCTTGTTTGGATCTTGCATGATATTGTGAAGTCAGAGTGCCATGAAATAGCACTCTGTGGTGTGACATAATGTGCTCAGGGATAAATCACAGGAAGAAAGTTATGCAGTGTAAAAAGATGGAATTTTCATGGTGACTGCAGGATTTTGTTGAGCATAGTCTGTGGAGGTCTTTGCTTGTCTGAAAATGACCATAACCAGGACTAGAGTGTGCCATTGAATTTGTCAAAAAAGAGACCAAAACCCAAACTACAAGAAAAAGAAAAGATGCCACATAAGAGAAGTGAGAAAGGGGTTTGCCTCATCTGCTGCCCAACCATATAAAAACCAAATGGTCAAAGCAATAGAGAATAGGCAAAGGAAAAACAAGTCTCCTACTGCTTCATATTAAAAATGTCTAACTTTTGTTGTGTTTTGTACAGTATTTCCTTTTGTGATTTATTGGTTTATTTTCCTTGGTCAGTTTTCACTTAAGATATTCAATCTGTAAGGTGTTTCACATCATAAATTTATCACTACTTTTGTCTTTTGGACAAACATATTTTTCTCCTTTATTATTTTGCTGGGCATCAAGAGGATGTAATCAGTGTTGGAATGCCACCAGGAACCAATGAATCTTTCTGATCCTCACTGTCTCTCAGGTACCACCTGAGCTAATTAGATCTTTTTTCTTCCTTAGGCTCATTTCATTCCTCTCTCTCCATCTATGTTTATTGAACAGATTGTCTATGTATCTTTAAATACAGTGCAGAAAATGAACATACCAAGATGGAGCCCAGAGTTTATTTGCCCACGGGAGGTTCCAATAGGAATATCTGGATACCTAAATTCTTTAGAGGAAAGGCCGTTTATCTGGACAACCTGAGTTGTATCTACTCATAGCCTAAACAGTGAGGGAGAGAGTGAGAACGTAAGAGTAACACAGACAACAAGGCCATGGTGAGCTGTGTTGTGTGTGCGCCTTGAGAACTGAGAGCAGTCCCCAGAGCAGGGGTACCTGGAATCATATATTCTAAGGTGACTCTTACAATACAGGGGCCATTTCTCAATAAAGACAATGTACTAAGGAGGAGATCGTTTTTAATTCAAGGGATGCCTTTGCAATAAGATTAATAAAGTGCAAGGTTTACACAGTGTGGACAAGGGACTCCCCATGTCTTGAAGTTTCAGCAGCAGCAGGGAGGCCCCCTATTCCTCAACATTCCCTGACACCATCTCCTCACTCTCCCTCTTGCTCATTTCCTCAACACACTGGCTCATTTTGAGTCTTTTTTTTTTTTTAAAGATTTTATTTATTTATTTTTCCCCCAATGCCCCAGTAGATAGTTGTCTGTCATAGCTGCACATCCTTCTAGTTGCTGTATGTGGGACGCGGCCACAGGCCGGAGAAGCGGCGCGTCGTGCGATCCCGGGATCCGAACCCAGGCCGCCAGCAACGGAGCGCGCGCACTTAACCGCTAAGCCACGGGGCCGGCCCTCATTTTGAGTCTTGATTCTCTAAAGCAACCATCTTCCTCAGAGCTTTTGCACTGGCCATGTCTTCTACCAGGAAAACACTTCCCCAGATAACATCGTGTCTGCCACTCATTCTTCTTCCACATATCTGTTGAAATGTCACCTCATTTGCCTGAACTCCCAATGAAAAATAACACCCCAATCCATTTTCTCCTTTCTATGTACTTTCTTTGCATCATAGTATCTGACATCATCGGATATGTTATATTATTATTTTTATTTGGTTATATTCTCCATCATTAGATTAGGGACTACTGTTTTACAGCATCTTATTCTTTGGAAAGTGCTTGAGACATAGTCTATACTCAAAATATATCCTTCAAATGCATGAAAGATACTCGGTGAAACAGTAGTATACATTTTGATTGAGGAACAAGTGGACAGTGGAAAAGGAATTCCTAATGAGAAATAGCATCAGAGATGCCCTAATGGAGACCAAAACGTACACAAAATATTGAAATTAATTTATTGATTCTGAAATATATGTAGCATTTGTGCTAGGTTACTAATGCTTGCTTGTGTGAAAATTAGCTATTTATTTTTTCTGTTTCCTGTAGTCGCCTCCAACACATGGAACTAAGGAATGACACACGTTTTTCAGAATTTCTTCTTCTGGGATTTTCAGAGGAACCAGAACTGCAGCCCCTCATATTTGGGCTTTTCCTCTCCATGTACCTGATCACCGTGTGTGGTAACCTGCTCATCATCCTGGCCACCATCTCAGACTCCCACCTCCACACCCCCATGTACTTCTTCCTCTCCAACCTGTCCTTTGTGGACATCTGTTTCTCCTCCACCACCATCCCAAAGATGCTGTGGAACATCCAGACACAGAGCAGAGTCATAACCCACGCAGGCTGCGTCCTCCAGATGTATCTTTTTGTACTCTTTGCAGGTTTGGAGGACTGTCTTCTGACCGTGATGGCCTATGACCGCTTTGTGGCCATCTGCCACCCCCTGCACTACACGGTCCTCATGAACCCCCGCCTCTGTGGACTGCTGATTCTGGTGTCCTGGATCATAAGCGCCCTACATTCCTTGTTACAAAGCTTAATGATTTTGCGACTACCCGTCTATAGAGTGGAAATCCCCCACTTTTTCTGTGAACTCAAACAGATGGTCCAACTTGCCTGTTGTGACAACTTTGTTAATTACGCAGTGATGTATTTTGGAGCTGGGCTGCTGGGTGGGGGTTCCTTGGCTGGTGTCCTTTACTCTTACTCTAAGATAGTTTCCTCAATACGAAGAATCTCATCAGCTCAGGGGAAGTATAAAGCACTTTCCACCTGTGCATCTCACCTCTCAGGTGTCTCCCTATATTATTGTACAGGTCTTGGAGTGTACCTCAGCTCTGCTGGTACCCACAGCTCACACTCAAGTGGAACAGCCTCAGTGATGTACGCTGTGGCCACACCCATGCTGAACCCCTTCATCTACAGCCTGAGAAATAAGGACATCAAGAGGGCTCTGAAAAGACTCTTTGGGACTAAGCTATAAAAGGGGCAATTTTCCTGGTGCTGAAGTGCCCATGATTTCAGGGCTCAAGGCTTGATGCCAGAAATTGCAATTATTTGATCAGATTGTGAAAGGAGAACCTGCGTCCTGGAGTTATCATTTCTTCGTCTTCAACTTAAGTAACTCACTGCATTGATCTTTCTGCTCTGTCTGACATACGGATGGTTTTCTCTTTTGTCCATTTTCCCACTTTCCCAAAGTTTTTCCCAGCCTTGGATCAGGACTATTTTGAAATTTCCTTTTTGTGGGACAACATAGATTTGTTTAGAAGAGTTTCTTCTCAAATGACAAATCTCATCCAAAGCAATTTATATCTTGTTTTACTAAAAGTGTAGTCATGAGTTGTATTACTCAAATCAAGAAAATTATGCTTGACAACCAAGGAAATTTATATAATTTCATAATGAAGGAAAATCTGAGGCAAAAGTTTTTCACACCTGTGTCTGTCATTTATTTGTATATCACTACCTTAACTGCTTTTCTTGAAAATGTAGATTTAAATATACTTGTGTGCTTTTTAATGGGTGAATGGGTTTTATCATCATTAGAGTCTTTCTTTTTAATTGAGGTAACATTGGTTTATAACATTATATGGATTTCAGGTGTACATCATTATATTTCAACTCTGTATGGACTGCATCGTGTTCACCACCAAAAGTCTAGTTTCTACCCACCACCATACAAATGTCCACCTTTACCCCTTTTGCCCTTCACCACCCTCTGCCCCTTTGGTAACCACCAATCTGTTCTCTGTATCCATATGTTTGTTTGTCTGTTGTTGTTGTTTTATCTTCCACATATGAGTGAAACCATATGGTAGTTGTCTTTCTCCATCTGACATTTCATTCAGCGTACTACCCTCAAGGTCCATCCATGTTGTCACAAATGACACAATTTTGTCTTTTTTATGGCTGAATAGTATTCCATTGTATATATACACCACATCTTCTTTATCCATTCTTCTGTTGATGGGCACTTGGGTTGCTTCCACATCTTGGCTGTTGTGAATAATGCTGTGATGAACATTAGGGTGCATAAATCTTTTTGAATTGTTGACTTCATATTTTCTGTATAAATACTCAGTAGTGGAATAGCTGGATCATATGGTATTTCTATTTTTAATTTTTTGAGACATTTCCCTGTTGTTTTCCATAGTGGCTGCACCAGTTTGCATTCCCACCAGAAGTGTATGAGAGTTCCCTTTTCTCCACATCCTCTCCAACATTTGTTATTTTTGCTCTTATTAATTATAGCCATTCTGATGGGTATGAGGTGATGTATCTCATTGTTTGATTTTCATTTCCCTAATAATTAGCAACATTGAATATCTTTTCATCTGCCTGTTGGCCATCTGTATATCTTCTTTGGAAAAATGTCTGTTCATATCCTCTGCCCATTTTTGATAGAGTTGTTCATTTTTTTGTTGTTGAGTTGTATGAGTTTTTTATATATTTTGGAATTTAACCCCTTGTTGGATATATGATTTGGAAATATTTCCCCCAGCTGGTGGATTGTCTTTTTGTTTTGTTGGTTTCCTTTGTTTTTTAAAAAGCTGTATCCAGAAGCTTTTTAATCTGATGTAGTCCCATTTGTTTACTTTTTCTTTTATCTCCCTTGCCTGAGTAGACATGGTATTCAAAAAGGTATTGCTAAGATGGATGTCGAAGCGTGTGTTGCCTATATTTTCTTCTATGAGTTTTATGGTTTCAGGTCTTACATTCAAGTCTTTAATCCGTTTTGAGTTAATTTTTGTATATGGTCTAAGATAATGGTCTACTTTAATTCTTTTATGTGTTTTCCCAACACTATTTATTGAAGAGACTTTCCTTTCTCCATTGTACGTTCTTGGCTCCTTTGTCAAAGATTTGCCATAAATAGATGTGTGATTTTATTTCTCGGCTTTCAATTCTGTTCCATTTATCTGTGTATCTGTTTTTCTGCCAGTACCATGCTGTTTTGATTACTATAGCTTTTTAGTATGATTTGAATTCATGGAGTGTAATACCTCCAACTTTTTTCTTTTTTTCTCAAGAATTTTTTGACTATTTGAGGTCTTTTGTTGTTCCATATAAATTTTAGGATTCTTTGTTCTATATCCTTGAAGAATGTCTTTGGGGTTCTGATTGGGATTGCACTGAATCTTTGGATTGCGTTAGGTAATATGGACATGTTAATTATGTTTATTCTTCCAATCCATGAACATGGAATATCTTTCCATTTCTTTATGTCTTCTTTGATTTCTTTCAATAATGTCTCATATTTTTCAGCGTAGAGGACTTTCACCTCCTTGGTTAAATTCATTCCTAGATATTTTATTCTTTCTGTTGTGATTGTAAATGGTATTATATTCTTGGCTTCTACTTCTGTTAGTTCGTTATTAGTGTATAGAAATGCAACTGAGTTTTGCATGTTGATTTTGTATCTTGTAACTTTACTGTATTTGTTCATTGTTTTTAATAGTTTTTTGGTGGATTCTGTAGGGTTTTCTATATATAGAATCATGTCATCAGCAAATAGTGGCAGTTTTACTTCGTCCTTTCCAATTTGTATCCCTTTTATTTATTTTCCTTCCACAATTGCTCTGGCTAAAACTTCTAGCACTATGTTAAATAAGAGTGGTGACAGTGGGCATCCTTGTCTTGTTCCTGTTCTCAGAGGAATGAATTTCAGTTTTTCTCCATTGAATATGATATTGGCTGTAGGTTTTTCATATATGGCCTTTATTATGTTGGAGTACTTTCCTTCTCTATCCATTTTATTGAGAGTTTTTATAATAAATAGATGTTGGACCTTGTCAAATGCTTTCTGTGCAACTATTCAGATGATCATGTGATTTTTATTCCTCATTTCGTTAATGTGGTGTGTCACATTGATCAATTTGTGGATGTTGAACCATCCCTGTGCCCCTGGAATAAATCGCACTTGGTCATGGTGCATGATCCTTTTAATGTATTTTATTCAATTTGCTAATATTTTGTTGAGGATTTTTGTAGCTATGTTAATCAGTGATATTGGCCTGTAAGTTTCTTTTTTTGTGTTGGCCTTGTCTGGTTTTGGTATCAGGGTAATGTTGGCCTTGTAAAATGAGATATGAAGCATCAAATCTTCTTCAATTTTTCCAAATAGTTTGAGAAGGATAGAAATGAAATCTTTGAAGCTTTCATAGAATTTACCAGAGAAGCCGTCTGATCCAGGACTTTTGTTTTTTGGGAGGTTTTGATTACTGTTTCAATATCTTTGCTTGTGATTGTCCTATTCATATTCTCTATTTCTTCATGATTCAGTTTTGGGAGGTTGTATGATACTAAGAATTTATCCTTTTATACTAGGTTATCTAGTTTGATGGTATATAGCTTTCCATAGTATTCTCTTATAATCCTTTGTATTGCTGTGGTGTCCGTTGTAATTTCTCCCCTTTTATTTCTGGTTTTACTTATTTGAGTCTTCTCTCTTTTTTTCTTAGTGAGTCTTGCTAAGGGTTTCTCAATTTTGTTTGTTCAAAGAAGTAGCTCTCATTTTCATTGATCCTTTCTATTTTTTTTTCTTAGTCTCTATTTCATTTATTTCTGCTCTGATTTTCATTATTTTCTTCCTTCTACTGACTATGGGCTTCAGTGGTTCTTCTTTTTCCAGTTCTTTTAGGTATTGGCTAAGCTTTTTTATTTGAGATTTTTCTTGTTTGTTGAAGTAAGCCTGTATTGCTATAAAGTTCCCTTAGTACCACTTTTGCTACATCCCATAAGTTTTGGTATGTTGTGTTTTCGTTTTCATTTGTCTTTAGATATTTCTTGATTTCTTCATTGATCCAATGGTTGTTCAGTGACATATTGCTTAGTCTCTGAATATGTGTGAATTTCCCGGCTTTATTCTTGTAATTGGCTTCTAGTTTCATAATATTGTGGTTCAGGAAAGATGCTTGATATGATTTCAATCTTCTTAGATTTATTGAGCTTGCTTTGTTTCCTAAAATATGGTGTATATTTCAGAATGTTCATTGTGAACTTGAAAAGAATGTGTATCCTGCTGTTTTTAGATGGAAGGTTCTCTATATCTCTTAAGTGCATCTGGTGGAATATTTCATTTAAGGCCACTCTTTCCTTGTTTACTTTGTGTCTGGGTGATCTATCCATTGACATAAGTGGGGTTTTAAGGTCCCCTACTCTTATTGTGTTGCTAACAATTTCTTCCTTTATGTCTGTTAATAGTTGTTTTATGTACTTTTGTGCTCCTGTGTTAGTTGCATATATATTCATAAGTGTTATGTCCTCTTGGTGGAATGTCTCTTTTATCACTATATAACGCCCATCTGTGTTTCTCTTTATCTTTTTTATCTTGAAGTCTGCTTTGGCTGATATAAGTATGGCTACACTCATTTTCTTCAGCTTACCATTTGGAGTATCATCTTCTGTCCCTTCTCTCTCAGCCTATGTTTGTCTTTAGAACTGAGTTCTGTTTCCTGTAGGCAGCATATTGTTGAGTCTTGTTTTTAAATACATTCAGCCACTCTGTGACTTTGGTTTGGTGAATTCAATCCATTTACATTTGAGTGATTATTGATGTATGAGGACTTAATACTGCCATTTTATCTTTTGTTTTCCTGTTCTATATTTCTCTTCTTTCTTTTTCCTTTTATTTCTGTCTACCATTTCATTTTGGTGGTTTTCTGTGATGGTTTTCTCAGTTTTTCTCTACGATTTTTGACTCTGCTCTGATTTTTTTTTTGTGGTTACCATGAGGTTTATATAAATGGTAAATGAACAAAGTTGACAAACTAAGCTTAGCTAGATGAACTAAGATAAAAGAGCATTGACTCCAGATGGTCTCAGAATCATGGCAGAGTAAGTCATTCCCTTTTTCTGTCCTCTCTAAGTTACAAGTAGTCAGACATCCAGTGGTCAACAAAGGACTCCCTGCACAGCACACCAGAACACCTGAGTGATCCATGCATCTATACACCTGAAGGAGGGTGGACTGGTCCTCTG